CTCTTTGATTTATCAAAATCATATTTAAGTCCTTTTTTATTATGACCCATCCCACGTAGCATTATGTTGAATAAACACCTTTTTTTCATGACAATATTTTGTTTCTATGAAAAGTTGTGTAATTAACGAATAATTTTGTATTACGTTTCTGAAACAGAACTGTATTATGCTCCATTTGTGCGACTATTCCTATGGAGATAGCTAGTCGAGGTAAATGAAATTTTCAGCCTTATCATTTGTAAGCGATCTGTTTATTTGATTGCTGCCCGCAATTTTTGCCGCTGAAATATTTGCACTTGACGGTGTGCGTTGATTCTAGTAACTATTGCTGCAAGGTTAACTGATTGAGATTGTGTGCTACTAGGAAATTAATGCCGGTTGCCCTCAAATAAGGGAGTTAATGAATGTACATTTTGAATGCATTTGTACCCCTTCAAATCCATCTTTATGTTCATGAGATATTCAGACAAGGTCTGCAGAATATTTTGCAAACAAAATCCACATTTGCCAATAAACCAACAAAGTGAACATATAAATATAGACAACGTCAGGCCCATTTTATTAACATTTTCGAAGCTTTCTGTGCTGATGATGAGTGTTTTATTTCCAAGTAAGATGTAGTCGTCAAACCGTATCAGTGCGGTTGCATGTCTGCACTACATTCGAAAATTTTGCAGACTTTCTGACAAATATTCATGGGGATATTGGAACGTGTAGTGATTAAAAGGCAGTTGCTCTCATGCAGTGACACCTGACGGGTGTATGTGATGTTGGTAGATGGCTGAGCATGCGTTGTACGTACCTAAGGGGGTCAAACGTCAGTGGCTCAGACGATAGCAGCGAAACTGAGGCATCCCAAACTTTCAAAATCACATCTGTTTCCAGAATTTCCGGTCGATCTATAGTATAGACTGATGCACACATTTTAAGATGAAACGGGAATATAAATGATTACTTTTATGGTCTCACGCATATTCCGATGCAAGCTTATTCGGGTTGCTGCTACAGTTTCGATTTGCGCCGGTAAAGACCAGAGTAAAGCAATGATCGAGTGTTTGGTTGACTTTCGAGTAGTTTCGCATAAGTGATGAATGATCAAAGGTTCTGGGTGAAGTTCCCGGGAAAAATAAGATATGGAAGTACTGTTTGACCTAGTAGAGGACTAGGTGGTTGGGTCACAGCTTCACATGTGGTGACTTTTCATATCATGCTAGGATGTGTTGACAAGGAAGGTGGCTGTATTGGGACATTACGCAAGTACGAACCGAAATCTTTCAATGAAGAAGAACTGGAAAGCTGGATCCTCAATGCTCACCTTCATCGACCGAGTCCTCGTATCCTGTTGTCCAGAGACATGCAGAAACAAATGATATCTGACGTACATAAAAAACTATAAAACCGTCACATGATCATGTCAGTTTGGTTATTTCAATCTCAAATAAATGAAATAAATTGTTCAGTCCGCATAAAATTAATTTGGCTTTTTGAGGTGGATTCATGCAAACAGGTAGGTTTACATTCGAGATTTGTTGGTGAACAGGAAAGAAATGGAAACCGAGGTAATTCCACTTTACCGGGTGATTCACAGATTATCTTACGATTGATGCGGAAGCTAACTTATCACATTTGTAATGTTGTGGGAAATTTTCGTTATCTAACATAACTTTCGACAGTTCAGTATTTATTGAAATGTTTTCATTCCACCGATCGTAGAGCTTTATAAATAAAGATTGATGAGTTTGCATCCATTTCTCATTGTTATCATTCATTGTTTTAATTGGTTCTCGTTTATTAGTGAGTTTCTTTGGATTGTTTTTCGTTTTTCATTACTTACTGCTATTTACATGCGCACCGGTCTATTGGAAATGCTGTGCTCTCCGGTATGGATTTATTTCAGCTGGTGTTAGTATGCGTTTGATTTATACTGCACAATAGGTCTGTACTGTGCAGTATGGATTCATTTCAGTTGGTTTTAGTATGC